GCCAGCAAAAGGTCCCATGAAAACGTCAAGCCAAGAAATGGTCGCATTCTTTGAGCAACTTTTGTACGTGTGTCGCAATATTAGTATTCGAAATGAAGATCCTTCGTTTGCTCTACTTTTCGCTATTTCACAAGATAATTTTTGAGATTTATTAACTATCAATACTAGGTTCACTTAGTGCTTGTGAGTTGGTCATACATAAAATTAGTCCCTCTCAAAATACCCAACATTTCCTTTTTCTACGTTCAAAAGTGCGAATCGAAGAATTTCATGAGAATTGAAGGAAAATGTGATAATAAAACAAACTTTCAAAGTCACCTTATGTCTGCAATTAAAATATCACGCAAAAAACAAAAAGGAATCGACTAAGTTTTCCTGATGGTTGATCGTACTCGTAACCGCATGCCGTACAAAGATGGTCTCTTTCGTCAAAACTGTTCCGCACAGTAGGAGCCCAGCTATGTATCATTTTGGGCCTTTTGCAAAAGGTAGAATGGATAGAGAATTAACTCCTCGCAAAAACGATCCATAAGTAAGTTAGAGTATTTCTTATTGCAGAAACGATTCATAAATTTGAGTAATAGCGATACTTTCTTAATGTTGTCATGTTTCTGTTGGATAGTAGCTGGTGGTCCCGGTCTCACCCGAAACTTCGGGATAGTTAAGCTAACAAAGTGTGAATTTACGCTTCTGAATTTCTTCTAACATGCGCATAAAGCTCTTTGATTGCCGCATCCTCACAACTTGGACATTGCAATGGAATTACTTTACTCAATAAATCAAAAGAAAAGTCCAGTAAGTTGTCACGAAGAGTACCCTATGACCTCCGGCGTGGTCGAAAACATGTTTCCAAAGTTTTAGCACAATCGTTCAACAGCGGTACGAACAAACAACCTAACGAACACCCTCACAGACTTTGAGTATTATTTATAGACAAATTACCGAGGCCTAGCTTTCCAGCGTAACTTCTGTAACACAGTTAGTAGATGTAGAAATGCCATAGACAACACAGTCTCGGAGAAACAATTGAATTACACGCGCCTGTTACACTGATTAACTATCATTTAGGCAAACTAGTGCCGTACTCCCATCAACCCTGAAAAACTCGAAAGGCGAGCAATTAGAGAGCGAAGACCTCAGTGTAGGTTCTACATGAAAAGATCATGTTTATATAGTAGAATTTTAGATGCTACTATTCTTGCAGAAGTTGAAAGGCGGATTTTTTAGTAAAGAAAAAAGACAAGAAATCGTTTACGTTATTGTACTCTTAGTGCTCATTTGCTTGGTGGTGCTATTTGTTATATATTTACTTGCAAACAGTAAGTCCTCAAGCTTTTGCATGTGAAACTGACTGTTATGAGAGGACGATTTAACGCAATCGTACCCACAGTCAAACGCCTGTAAATTCTCGACTAAACTCATCGACGATTTTTAACTCACCATTGATCCTTACTCCGCCAGCGTCGCGAACCCTTGCAGGACTTCCGCGTATCTTCAACCTTCTCTGGTAATCTTTTTATCCTGTTTTCTGCTTCCAGTACCTTGTTATGTGACACAATTTTGACATAATCTCAAGTCTGACCGTTACCCTCGACCAATATCCACGTTTTCTCTTCTTTCTCAGCATTTAGTTAGTTGAACTTGTAACGACGATTGCTCTGTTGAGTTATGCAATATTTGTGGTTTTGAATCTACTCCGCTCTATGAAATTACCGTATTGCGCGTGGAATTACATGACCGGTGTTATCCTTTCCTCTTACAAGGAAATGGTCAGAAGTCGAAGTGGCCGAACCAAAGGAGCTGTATATCATTGGATGCAGCATAAAACACTGACTTCGAATCTGTCTTCTTTATCTGCTTCCCGCTTCTGTGAACGGAGCTACAAGCGGTTTTATTGTGAAAAAATCATACATAAAAACAACGAAATTGAGCACATTGTTGCACTTTTAGCTTAGCTACTGGCTTCAAAAATTTTATAAGCTAGCTGCATGTTTTCGCCCAGCATTGAGGCGAACGTGGCTCTGTACGGCTAAATTTTCAATTTCACGCATAATTTCTTAGCAAAATAATGGTCTTTAATGGCTTATAGCTTCGTCCAGAGAAGCGATAAGCAGGTAAGGAAGAGAGATTTAGAGTGAGCGCTTCATGCTTTATCTAATGGTACCCAGCTTGTCTGAAATGGCCACTTCGATTTCTGACCATTCCCTTGTTAGCCTTCTTCACTTTTGCCCTACTAGTGTGCGTGCCATTGTCACACATTCAGTCTCCATACCGCGCATTTTATAGTAGTGTTTGTGAGGTAACTTTCAGCATAGCTTTGGGATGAGGAGCGCCTCATTGGCTAGTGAGTCGACCAATTGTTGACTCCAATAGATATTTGTTTTTTTACCAAGAAATCACGTGATGGAAGTTACCGTAACTGTAAATTTGTTACTCCTACCCCCAAATAACGTTATAATGTCAAAGGCAAGTCTCAAATACTTTTGGGAAAAACAGCTTGACGCAGTAAACGGTCTATCATACATGGAATTCACTTAGAAAATTCCGTATTCAACACCCAAACACAGGCACGAAGTAACAGACAGTCTCCGCTCCTTCTAATAGGATTTTTACTATTACGAATGCTTAGGCACGTGAACAATTGCAAGTAGATGCCTTTGCAAGAAGACATTCCAGCTACTACTTAGCTTTTTCCAAAGCCAAGCAGATAATGAAAAAGAACGAAAATATCCGTCCAATGTTCTTAGGTATACAGTCTTTTTCAACTCGAATAGGCGATACATTCCAAGTGGATCAGTGCTCCGTATCGCCCTTGGCTCAGCGAGATAAATTAGAATAAAGAGGAGCAGACTGCGAAGCGGCGCGAATTGTTGCGATGCGGACTCTCGCCATTCCAATTTCCGCCTAAACTGAGTTGAAACTTACTGTACAGTGCTAGGCAAAACTACAGGACCACCCCAAAAATTTCCCAAATATAGTGATCTTGAACTTGACCAATATGCGTAACTATCTGACTAGTGTTAGGATCCAGATTTTGTTCTTTGTTCGATCCATCAAAGAGAAAAATTTGAAGAGCTGTAGTGGAGGCTGGCCAATACTATGGGTCCACTTAAAATTCTATATTATTGCAGACTTTACCTTCCAACAAACTCTATGTCTACATATCGTCAAAGTTTAAAACAGTACCTCTACTTGAAGCGAGTTACAGTAGTAGATAAATTGTGCACTTTTATAGCACAACAGGCATCCGAAATCATTTTGCTTTCGTAATCAGCATCCAAGTACAATTTTTTGCAGCGTATTTAATTGGTGCAAAAGCACATAATTTTCTGTCCTGCAGATACCCGGCGTTTCAAACGCAATATCTACCCTACCGGTAGTCTATGTTAGATTTAGGTCCGTATGCATAAATATCCCGCAGCAAGAAGAGCACGTTTCCTATGATGAAAAATCCGCAGCGGAGTTCGCCCACGGTCTCTTTAAGACGTGGAACAGCGCTCCTTTTCGCCTAACATCAGGCTGAGAGGTACACATCTTGACCGAGTTCTAGATCTGTTTGGGAATGAAGTGTTTACTTGTGGTATATTTGTCAATTGTCTTTTTGCTGTGATTCAATCCCTTGTACTCTATTGTTAAGTTCAAATTCAATTTCCATAAATTTGCCGCCTGTTTCTCACAAAGCTTTCTGGTGCCTGGCACCGAGTGAAGGCAATTCATAAAAGTCATGACGACGGATTTGACTGCGGTCTTTGCGGCCGCAGGTGCATAAAATTCTCATAAAAAAGGTAAACCTAGCTCAGTCACTTCCAATCTCTCAATATTGTCGTATGTAGGCAGCAGTGGCGTACCGAGGAGGGGAGGGAGGGCGCCCCCCCCCCCCCCCCGAGAACGGGTCGCGAAATTTTTGAAAGTTACTTACATGGATTATAAAAATGTGCAAGCGACTTGTTTATTTTTGTAAACAATTAAAACAGTTTTTAAAATTTTTTAAAAATTCAAATTAGCCTTATAAAAAATTTTTTTCGGGGGCGTGGCCTTTTTCCAGATTTTTGGGGTTGGGGACCCGCAAAAATTTTGAGAAGCCCCTCTAAAAAATTTTTGGAGTGCGTGGCTAACGCCACGCACCTTCATCTGACAAAAATTTTTGCCGCGCCCCCCCCCCCGAGCCGGAATCCTGGGTACGCCACTGGTAAGCAGAACAAAATCGAGTAGAGATGAAAACCAAGAAAAGGCGATTGTTTGCATGCGCGCTTTTGCGCCATCCTTACGATTTTTCGAATGTCCTATACGTTCTCAGCTTGAATATACACAACCACTGTAATCGTTGGTGATTCATTGTTTTTCCCGCTCATAAAAAACTGCTAAGTCCACCGTGTCCGGTCCCACACCTATTCGGAGAACGAAGAAACGAAGACTAGAATGAGATTAATTTATGCGTGAATTGTCCAGCTGTCTCAGTGAACCTAAGCCTGCACTGTAGCATTGGTATATCTTGAAAACACTTTGACCTTGATGCAATTGTCCTTCTCTACTAGCCTCTTCGCACCTAGCTTGCCGTGCCAGGATCTTTTGAAGCATCGATTTACATCATGATCACAAGTGAAACGAATCGACATTTCGAGACTGACTTTTAGTTTACAGAAGAGCTTAAAAATAAAGAAAAGTCAAAAAATGACATCTATGAAGGAAAATCAAAAAATCATAGCCATGAAGGAAGGCCAAAAAATGATACCTATGAAGGAAATTTAGGAAATCATAGCCATGAAGGAAGGCCAAAAAATGATAGCCATGAAGAAAAGCCAAAAATTGGTAAGTCTTGGAAATCACTGCATCTTATGTCTTTAAGCATGTATTCCAAGAATTCACATCCACGGACCTTTCCTATCTAAAAGAGCTTTCTCTGAATTTCGTATTCAAAGGATTTTACAAGGACAATGCCGTTTTTGCATCAAGAGGAGAAGTTTTATTCTATTTATTGGAAAATAAGACCGCACGTATATATTTCAACGAAGACAGTCAGGTGACTTTGAGTAGCGAAGCTCCATCCTTAATACTCCATTTTAGTATGCTATTGCCAAGAAATATTGTCTAGAAAGTATGAAATTAGCCTGCAAAGAAGCTGAACTTTGGGTAAGTCCTGTATCTTATTTGCAACTATTTTAATAAGTTTGGAATTTCTAGCAAGGGAATGATCCCAACTTAAGGTGGCGAACTGGAATAAACCGCATATCATTAGATGCCCCTTGATGAGCTGATTCCAAATCTTCCTTCCTTATCTGCGATGCCGTTATCCGGAAATAGTTATGAGCGATTGAAAATGTACATTGAGGGTTTACTGCACAATATGTTTTGAACTAACTTGGAAGTGCAAGACTAGCACTATATTGGATGTACTGATTTCGAAGAATGTTTACATTTAATGGAAACACAAAGAAATGTTTTTAGTCAGTTAGTTCTTGAGGTATGGCGCGGTACATTTGCAAAATTTGAACTTTTCATTGCCCATAGTTTTACCAAACAACTTATTTTCTTTTTTAGTTGTTCGAAAATACTTCTTAGTGTTTCCCATGTAGGCGTTCTTTGAAATCAGTACACTCAATATCATGTTAGTCGTGCCTCCCTAGTTGGAGTTTTGAAGCACATTATGCACATCATTAAAACTCCGATGTCTTCACACTTTTGACCGCTTATAACTTCTTCCAGAGAACGTCATCGCAGATATAGAAGACAGATTTGGAATCAACTCATCAAGACACATCTAATAATATGCTGCTCATTCCAGGTTGCCACCTTAAGTTGGGATCGCTCCCTTGTAAGAAGCCAACACAAAGTTGAATTGACTGTAGAACCGAGATTGCGACTAAAAGAGTGTAATGATCCAGCTTCTTGAGCTTATGATGACCAGGCTAGTTCAGTTACCGGTTAAAGAGTGCGTAGTTTTGCCCGTGATTGGCCCTGCCTCTCCACACCCTGGACATACTCCACGCAGTTAGAGTCGCTACGCATTTAGCAATACTCCGATCATTTGAAACCCGTCGTAAGCGCCTTCTAAAGACACAAAGGGTAGGGCGTTTTATCGGTTTGTGAGAGTTATGGAGTCGAGTGCATATCTGGTAATTATGGTGGCCTGCAGAAGTCAGCAATTTTGCGTGAGAAACTGCCGCAAAGCGAGGAGATTTTATTATATATTTTCAGGTAAGTTTCAATTGACTAGGAGTAGAAGGAAAATTAGAGAGCAGTTTTGTTGGACCATCATATCGTCTTTTGGGCATACTGCAGTCGCTGCAGCAACGGCAGTCAATCGATCGATATCTTTTGTCCGCCCCATATGACTGCAGTAGCTGCAGCTACTGCAGTATGAAACTACCCGAAATATGCTCACGGCAGTAGAGCTCCACTATTCTCGGATGTATCTCTACAATTGCTTATCATTACGAGCGTCATTTCATCATTTATTTCTGTACAGCTTTGACCCCAGATACGTTAACATTGTAAACTGTGAAGTCAGCGCCGAAACTTGAATAGTGTTTTGTGAGCGAAGAAAACAAACTGCAGCAACAACGGCGCATCAAATTTGCAACTGCAGTCTAACAGTATGAAGAGGAGAAATCCTTTTCATCCAGTGATGTGTTTGCAAGGAGATGTTAACAGCGCAAATATACAACCACACAACATACAACCATACAACCATATACTACCAATATACAACCAGATGACGCAATGTGCAGTCAGTTACGATACAAAATGTGAAACTCGAAAGTAAAGGGAGCACAACAATCTAAGTCATTCCATCAATCATTGATATAGACAAAGGATAGACAGGATAAACCAAGCAAAAAAGAGGAAGAAATGCATAATTTGAAGGAACATCATTGAGGGACACGAATGTGCAGCAAATATAGAGATACATTTTAAAAAAGTGGAGCACTGCTGCCGTGAGCCTATTTCCATTGCGCTGCAGCGGCGTACGCGGCGTACGCGGCGTGCGCGGCGTAGTATGAAGGAACCCTTTGAGTTCAGGTGTGCCTCCCTGCATCGCATGAGTGGTTGTAACGTAACCCTTTCTTACATCTTTTTTTTAATCGAAAAACGCTCCTTTACCTCGCTGATAGGTCTCTTCAAACTTAGAATACTCATCTTCGCTCATCTAAAGTAATCTTATCTGGCATGTGCACTCTTTGTGATAAGAGAAAATTGAGCAGGATAAAGAAGTCTACAAGTTTTGTAAAGTTATGCTCTTTGTTAGGAAAGAGATGAAAGGAAGAGTTACGTCACAAACACTAAATGCGATGCAGCTACCAGGAGAAACCTGCAGTTGTTAGGAGGTACACCTGACTCAAACGATGATATGACTGCCCGAAACAACAAAAGCTGCTTTCTAGCTTACCTTCTACTCCTAATCGGTTGTGAGATATCTGAAAGTCAAGAAAGAATAAGCAAATTAAAACAGTGAATTCACCTAGAACTTCTCGGTTTGCGGTATGTTCAGGCGCAAGTGCTGCCGCTTCTGTACTCAATAATCGCCGAGGGCAGGCGTCCGCAAACTCGCGCTTTTTTGCACGGTCAGCAAATTTTTGGGGAGTGGTCTTTAGCGAGCGGCACTTCCGTGTTCTGCGCAAAATAATATCTTCTGCAAGCGCTCGTCAGTTAATCTCTTTTTAGCGAGCGTCCGTGAGTGTCCGTTCGTGAGCATCCGTCTTTCTGTCCATAAATCGCATGGCCGCCTGCCCCTGGCGATTCTCTGTATAGGTGCGTATATTTACTGGGAAATCTATTCGACTGTACATACTGTACATTTATAGTTTGCGCAGCCGGATTTTTGACATCTGGCGCTTCACCAAATTGCGTGGTGATGAGATCGCCCAAAATATGCTGAACCCCATACATGTTCATAATTATATCGTGCAAAGTTGGTTTTTGTCTTTTTCACACACTTCAAGATGAGTTTTTGGGATCAGCGCGACGTTCAGGGATAAGTAATAAAATATAATAGATAGAGATTTGCGAAGATTTTTTTTTGGTTTTTTGGTTTTTTTGGTTTTTTAGCATCTGATAGTGCCTTTTGTCTCTTTCCCTTCATGTAATACCTATACACACCCAGCCACTCTTGATATCTTGTTTTTTTATTTTTTATCGAAGAAAAAAACAAAATATTCTTTGCCACTAATCAAGCCGCACTTAATCTGCATCATCATTTTGCAACTACAACTAGTAATGAACTGTTCCGTAACTTTTGGCATCAGGTCATTTCAAAATGTTTGAAAAAGGCTTCATCTCATCATAATTGTTTTCTGTAAAATAACATATTTTCTACTAAGTAGTAACATAAAACTTGAGGCACTTTAACTTCTTACGACGGTCATGCAATTTACATTTTTAATAAGGATCCAGGGCACCATTCAATAGAGCAAAGCAAGCTCTACAAGATGATTTGCAAAAGTTCGCCCCAACTTTGACCTACTTTGAGTTTGCAACTAAAATGTGAGTCGTACTGATGGCTCAGAAATCGCGAAAAATTCATATCTCCGTTCAAAAATAACAGTTTGAAGAGGAAGATATCCTCGATCAATAAGCGAAAGCGATCAAAATATTCTATTGAACATATTGGTCAACTTTGCTTCTATGAGGAAAGCTAAACAGCTTTGGATTCTTCACAGGTGCCTTACCTAATCAAGGCGAATCTGAAAAAAAACATGTCAAACTGCATCAATACTTCTTGAGTTTTTTCGTGACACGTAGAAGGCAGGCAGGTAGACAGTCCTCATGAAATCCACGCAAAAAAAAATTTCTAGACTAAATTTCTAGACACGTAGAATGTGAGAATTCTCAAAGAAATGAGTCAGGATAACGAAAAAGTATCGTCCTTTCCCCATGTATAGCGGGCGGAGCTTTGCGTACGTTTGCCAACGTATGCTCGAGTCATTTGTAACTTAATATGCGTATTGCACATCATACGCCCTATTCGACGAACTTATAAGATTGGAACCTGCTCATTTCAGCGATTTCACCTTCTTCCTTCGCCTCTTTTAGTTTGATAGGATATTGGTTGATTAGTAGTATCCAATTTTACCGTTCGTTACGTTCGAGAAGATTTGATCGAGAAGTTAATGTTAGGGATACCGTATGTTGAAACGCTTTGTGTGCAGGCTCACATATTAAGTTATGAATGACTCGACGATATGTGCGTGGCAGTTTTTGGCGCTAGAGAGTACAAAAACTAATGCTTTAGAGTGGAGGTTCAACAAGTTTTTCAACGTGTGAATGTCTGCACGGCCACGGCCGCTATAGGCATGGGAAACGCCTATACCAACATGTTGAAATGGACCAGAATGATTCAGTTTTTTTCAACACGTGACAAATAGGTAGTCCTCATATAATCTATGGAAAACTGCTTTCAAATGAGCTTTTCTGTGAGAGGCTTGTGAAAAATGGGTTCGAATAACGGAAAAGTACCATCATTTTAGTATCCCAGCACCGTTTAGCGGCAGATTTCCATCTTCCACGGTAGCCTTCCCATGTTGGATAGTATGCCAACTTCGCGCAGAAAAAAGCTGCCGCAGCTAAGGACAGCATATCTGTCAACTTTCAAAGCTAATTCAGATATATGTACCTCATCTCAAAACGCGATCTAAGTTACCTGACTTCCTTTGTTAGAGAGTGTGCAAGATCTGAGGCTTTCTGCACGCCCTTATTGGGTAACAAAGAAATTACTCCTTACTAAACGACTTTCGTTTGTGATTTACATCATCTCAAAGGATATCCATTAGATAATGGATCTAACGGTATCGTTAGCGAAAAGAAGGTGAAAAGCAGGGAAATTCGACCAAGCCCTCTTGAATAGTCATGATCAGGGTCGAGCGAAAGGTGTGGCACACAACTGTCGTATACAATCCCTCCCCCCTTAGATCTGTCCCAATACCTCTCTCCCCTTCCAGCATTATCGTATACCTATCATAAGCATGACATAAAGCCCTACGAGCACAATTACCAACATATTTGTAATTATAATGTCAAATAACCCCCGCGACCAAGTTTTAGCTAATTCTGAGGGCTCGTTATAATGGACTACTCACGTCAAGCGGCCATTTTCAAACTACTTCTTCTTGTACTCAACACAAAGCACTACTTCCTTTGCCCGTTTGATCTTGCTTCATACAACCATCAAACTATGGAATTAGAAGCAGCCAAAATCTCGTTTGTCCCATTTTTCGCTTATAGTGGTTCTGCTTCCAGCAACTATTGCTCGAGCGAAAGAAAACGAATTTAAGTCCAATCACTTCTGCAAAACTGCAAGATTTGAACTGCCGAATGTATATACAGTCTGTCCCAAAAGTATGTATACAATGTTTGATCGTACACTGTTGATAGCTCTTTTTCCAAGAAGTCTTTTCCTTACCTCTAAGCACCATTTTGTAAAGCTGGCTTCAACTTAGATTTACAGTATGGAGCGAATCACGGATCGGATCACAGTGTAAGATTGTGGTAGGAACTTTCAGCTTATGGCGTCATTACGGATTTACTGTGTTTCAAAAAAAGTTTCCAAAAACCTGGAAAGTGGTTAGGGTTTTCAAGCTCGCCGATAAAGTGCAAACATCATAATTGGTTTTAGCGGCTTCAGTTGGCCTAGCATGAAAGTTCTCTGATTGTTCGACCTGCTTCTGGAGGCGAAATAGGGTCCTTAATGGCCCACAACGTTTCTTGAATTTTCTACCGTAATCCTACAGTAATGAAAAGCGACCGGTGATTCGCTCCATACTGTAAATCTAAGTTGAAGCCATCTATAAAATGTTGCTAAAGGTAGGCAAAAAACTTCTTTGGAAAAGAGATATCAACGATCAAATAGTGTGTACATACTTTTGGGACACCCTGTACTGTTCTATAGGATTCTCTTCGAAGGTGAGTTGATAGTTTGTAGCACAACCCCGAAAAAGCTATGGCGGCCACACCTTTTCAAGGGGTGTGCCACATCCCATCAACTTAACTTCAAAGCACTCAAATATTTTTGTTTTCTTTAGCGTTACGACTTGCGACTGCTAAACTTTATTTTCTACAAGTAGGAATTCCATTCAAAATGGTCCCTTTTGAGAAAAGGTTTAGTCGTTTTTCTTTACCTGTGCAAACGGGATATGCTGCGGAAATAATGAGTTACGGTAACATGCTAATTCTGCGCTATTAGTGAATCGCGAGGGAAGGCTGCAAGAGTTCACAAAAGCAATTTGAGCCTGGTTGGTCTTCTCTAGTCTGACATACTGAAAGAAAATGGGATTAACGAGACTCGCTTTTAATTCCATAGTTTAGAAGTTGTTTGGGGTGGAATTCCTATGCGAACAAAGGAGTAGTAGTTCTTCGTATTAAGCGTAAAAAAAAATAGTTTGCTCACCTTTCAAACAAAGTTAACATCTTCGAATTTGATCATCTCACTTGAGTGACCCAACATTTGGAAATCTCAAATTTTGCTGAAAGCCCACAGGGTTTATTCGACAATTACCAGCACACTGATGCTTTGACCATACCGTCGTATACGGCAGCCGCAGCTTTTAAGGGGGTTTGCCGCACCCCATTAACTATATCAAAAAAACATTTTTAGCGGACAGTATTTATATGAATCGATAGCCTAAACCTTGTAGATTTCATAGCACTGTTTGGAGCCTCATTTGTCTTCTTAGCTCTAAGTAATATTTTGTGAAAGCACAGCGATCAAAAGCGAAAAATGAGAAAAAACGAGATATTGGTTGGCTTCTAATTCCACAGTTTGCAGGTCTTCTGAAGCGGGATTCCTGAGTTGGACAAAGAAGGAGTAATGCTTTGTCTTGAGTGCAAAATCGGATAGCTAATTCACCTTTAAAACAAAGTTAACCCTGTTGGAATTTGACCATTTCATTTAGCTAGCCTAGTATCTTGAATCTTCAGAATTCGCTCACACTTTGTCTACAGGGGTTAATTGACATGCTAATTATGGATATGATACGAATATCATGTTATCACTATTACCAGATTACCCAACTACGACCCCCTCCCCTTTTGACTCCTCAATACGACCCCCAGGTGTGGCGTGCCGCACCCCACGCTTGACCCTGGTCATAACTGACAATCGATCTTTGATTTGTGGCAAAGATTGTTAGTGGCCGAGCGGTTTGACAGCTTTTTTGCACATGAGGGTCCGGAACTTCTAATCCTAGATTACCTGTTGTAATGGTTGTGTCAAGAACTATTTTTCTTCAACACCGCTTCGCTAGCTTCCGTACTATCAAGACTTAAGCAATGCTCACGTGAAAGAAGGCCCTGTAACCTATAACTTTTTGAAAACAATGTAGCATTATTTTTGAAACAGACTCAGTCTTTTATGATCTAATGCCCTTTCCAGCCTTGTTAGACCAGTATCCAAGTTCGGATACCCTTACTCCCGACAAGAAAATGAGATGTGGTCCGCAGAGGCGAATTCGGCTAGCGTTAGACGGCTCACCGCGTTTTTCTTAGTTTGACTTTGTCTATCTAGTGGCTAACCTCCTCCTAGACTAAATCCAGCTTCGAAAAAAATCTGTTTTTCTCTAAACTTTTTCAATCGCGAGATTGATAGAAGTGTCCAACGAACCATATAGGAGTTTGAGATTGCATTATCTAACCCTTATGTAAGCTACAAAAAAAAAACGGTAGAAAAGCCCCAAAGTTAGTGATATCGTAATGACAGTAATTTGGAGAATCGGATGCTGTCTAGAAAGAAAGTGCTAAATGTGGTAAAACCTGCCTCTAATATGAGTTGCGGGAATGCGCCGAACGCACACTACTTCATAGTCGAAGAGACTTACGGGGACCAGCCGGTTACCAACTCAGTGCTTATCCTCCCACATTACTCTGGTACAATTACCGTCTCCGGTGAGTAGTGGACTTGGTTGGCCCAGGTGAGGGATCGAACTTGCGTCCGACCTGGTCATAGCGGCGCCTCATACCATCACGCCACTCCATTCTCACTTCTCATAAGATTTGGAAAATTCTGGTTGCCTCATGATTCAGTACTTCAAAATAATCGAGAACATCCTTGGAAGAAATCGTTCTTACAGGAGAACAACATTAGGGGATCCTCGTCCAGAGACATGCGCTATTTTCTCTATATTGGACGAATCACTGAAGAGGTTGGTTGTATGAAGCTTATCAAACGCTTGTCGCTTGCATCAGCATCTCCACTCCCGCGCTGGACTCTGCGTCTCTCCCGCGAACATGCTCTTCGATCACTTCCAATCGATTGAGGCCCCGCCTTTTGATCAGAGAGCATGTTCGCGGAAGAGACGCAAAGTCCAGCGCGGAAGTGGAGATGTTGATGCAAGCGACTTTGCGTTTGATAGGCTCTGTAGCTGCTATTTTATGCCATAGCGTTCAAACTAACATTCAGGAGAGTTTGTCACCATACATACCTCCTCCAGCGCCAATGACAATTCTTGATACAGAAACACGGTAAGAATATCAGAAAATCTGTTAAACAGCATATTGAAATATATTTTGAAGGGCCATAATCAAGGTAGGAATTAAGAAACATGGAAGAGAACTGCAAACCTTTTTCAAATGGAACCCTGTTGGAAATGATTATGTTAGTATTACTACTTTCACATGTAGTCTTTATGGAATAATCATGTATCATGTACCCACAGATATTCTGGCAAGACGGTCATGTGTACTACTCAGAATCTGTGGAATCCAATCAATCTGTACAAATAACTGATGGAGGTCCGAACATGGTTCATGGAACCCTTGATTTATTTCATGTGGATAAACTGCTTGGAGCAAATACGGAATCAGGAGAACGTGATTTTGAGGAGCAAGTAAGTTTTGATTACTTGCTGCAGTATATAAGACAGTTTTCATACTATTGAACAACACACGGATTCGTGCATTGTATGCAGAACCGTTAGGTTGTAAGGTAGTTGCCAGGCATTTGCTGAAATTTCAAAATTGGTAAAGGCTACTGCATGACGAGGGCGCAGAAGCAATATTAGCTGAGCGGGTGCGAACGCGACGCGCGCGTATCTTTACCGTTGTAAATCCTGCGCCTTATACGCTCTGCGGCTGATAAAGCCGCGTTCGCGTTCAAAGATATTGCGCCATCGTCATACAACAGCCCATAACTTTAGCCGATTAAACCTTTGAGAGCTGCAAGTTTTGATGCAAAATAATATTGTCTACAACATATGCATGTTCTACTGGATTCTAACATTTCATACAAGGCCAACAAAATTCGCACGTAAAAAATTTTTCATTGATGGGCCAAAGTGACGCAAAAAAAGGAGCCTGAGATCTTCGCCGTAACTCATCACGGAGAAAAGTATGTTCACTCAAAGGCTTCTGAATACCAGCCACTGCATACTTAAAGACCGTCTTATACAGCGTGTCACAAAAGTGTGTAAGCCTAACTTTGTAACTCGAAAAGTGTCTTCTTTCACTCAAATTTTGCATATGACTTCGCCAAAAAATTGACAACACTTCTTGAAGGAATTATGATGTTTGCATCGTGCATTGGTAACTCTTCTCAAGTAGATAGTACTACGATTTTGATGTTGAGCAGGGTGTAACCTCAGCCCTTTTGAACCCTCGATGCCCGTTTCGACGCGTGCGGCGCGGCTGGCAAAACTAACCAGCGCATTCACAGTCAACGGGGAAAATTCCTATTTGAAGCATGTAATACAGCCTTGCCAAAACCTATCATCATGTTGGACACGAAAGATGTAGAAAATGATGCTTCGTCCTACTCATAGCCTTGTCAATGGTAGTGGACATATTGGTAGAGGCGCGCCGTGATAGCGAGCGGTTCAAAAGGACCGTTTCCCGGTTAAGCAGACTGAAGACTCTTGTCTTAACAGCTCTTGGCGATATTCAAGTTTTTCGAAAAGAGCTAGCTTCATTCTAGATTTGCTACACAAAGACAAAGTGCCGCTCTCTGTTCATTATTGTAGGATTGAGATACAAGCACACTTAGTTGTGTGTCCTACCATTAAGAAAAAATTTTTGAAAACAGAAAACCGGAAACTTGAAAACTTTGATGCCAACTCAATCTTCGCTGATTCTAGCTATAAAATTTGCATTTTTTCAAGTAAATGTGGTTCGAAGGTTGTGCTGCTTGTGTCATATTAGTTGTTTCCTTTAAGCCCTGAAGAGTAGATTGCAACACTGCGACCATTTTGCGAAACTTTAGTATTCCAATTCCGAGATTGGTGTGTTTTACATCGTTCAGTCAACCTTCTCGACTTTTTTGTGATAGCCGTGTAGATCAAGGCTTGTGCCATCCTCCACCGAGTTTGGGAAGGTCTGAAGTGCTTGCTTAAAAAAATCTGGAAAACCCTTTACGTCAAATAACAGTCTGCCGCGGTGAGTGGGATCTGCGGGCCTTGAAAACAGGTGGGGTATTTGTTGAAACTCTGAGTCTACATTGTTTCGACCTATTCAATAAACCATATAAACAACTTCGTTTCGTGTTGCTTCGCTAACAGTTTAGCTAAGAAAAAGTAAGCTTAAGGACTTCAGGAAGACCTTGCATATGTAGAGATTACATTTCTAAGAGTAAAAGTACTACAGGGTGTTGGATGGTCACCAAAGGGCGAAAAAGTTGCAATCATGAGCCATGAAGTCAGTTCCAATGAAAAAACGGTGCACATGATAAGGTCAGTATCCAGAGCTCTAACAAGGGAACTTTGAGATGAAACCTATACCATCACACTCGTCTTGAAATGTTGATTCCGAATCTGACTTCCATTTCTGCTAATCGCTTCTCTAAAAGAAGTTATGAAGGGTTCTCGCGTCAATGGTTTCCCAAGAGAAATACAGTCGAGGATGCCTAACTTTCAAAAAAAGTTTGCTTGAGGCAGTGCAAAACTGAAAACACAGAAGGACTCGAACCTCAACCAGCATTGATTTGTGAGGCTATCGCACTAGCCACTACACCATCCCGCAGCGGCGGTTTTGTCATTTTGACCATATTCTTTGGCGCAAAAATCCTTCATAACTTTTTTTCACAAAAGCGATTAGCAAAAACGGAAGTCAGATTTGAAAATAGCGCTCCAAGGCGAGTGTAATGGTATACGTCTCATCTCAAAAGGCCACGGACATCAAGCCGTTCCCTTGGCTATGCATTTCGTTCATAACGAAAATTACAGTTATTTTATTGAAAGGAACTATGCAAAAACTATGGAAATTAGATACCCAAAAACTCATGAATTCTTACCAAGACATGTTATCAGTATCTGGGATAAACAAACTCGCACTTTGAAACATATGAAGGCTCAGCTCAAAAATGAAACGTGAGTAGGGTGTCAGAATTCGTATAAAGACCACTTCATAAATTGAAGAGCATTTTGTCACATTGTCCATGTGCAATGGATTGTTATGGACAACAGAGAATATCTTGTTGTAGTGTATGCTAACAGAATTTTTACGCATGCCTCCATAGCTGTTTGCGATTACGAATCAGGAGCTTGTCATATGGTGAGTGGAAAATACTGCATGGACATTAAGACTCAGCTAAATATAAAGTCCTGGTGAAGGATATGATTTTTGAACATTCGAGGTTTTTGACTACAAGTATCCAAACAAAACACATGCTGGAGCTATGAACGTCATGAGCTACAGCAACGATGCACTATATATTTGTTTGCCGCGAGCTATGTCCAACGGAAACATTTATCAGCACATTGCAAGACTTACCATAAAGGTAAATTGTGTTTTCACAAACCTTGATGCTAATAACCATTATTTGAAGAATTCCACTAACATTACATACGGACAATTATCGTTTCTATCGCTTGGAAATTTTGATGTTCATGCTATCTTGGGTTACAATGCTGCAACTGATATCATGTAGGTTGAATGAGTTTGTATACAAACTCAGGGTTGGCTCATCATGACCAGGGCTCGGCACAGGTGGCTTGTAAGCAAGCTGGGTATCGTTTTTGGGACAAACAAAGGGGGTTTCGTTTTTGTGACCGAAGAGAGACGCAAAATTGGCGACTTGGCCACGTTTTTTTAGTCGACGTTTCGAATTTTGAGGAATTTTTCAGGTTTTTAGAGGAAATTTGGTTGAGAGTCAAAGTGGACTTCGTAAAAATTCCCAAAAGTCAAGGGGGACTTCGTTTTTTCCATTTTCATCTAGCAACCTCGTGCCGAGCACAGATCATGACCACAAGAAGGACAAGTCCTCGGGGACGGTTTGAAGGCTGCTTTTGACTATAGCGCGCTTGGAGCCAGGGCTCGGCACTGGTGATTGGTAGGCAAACTGGAAATCGGATTGGGACAAAAAGCAAAGGGGGTTTCGTTTTTGTGGCTGAAAATACACAAAATTTGCGACTTTTTTTGGTCGACGTTTCATTTTTTGACGATTTTTTAAGATAATGGCTTAGGGCCGAAGGGGGCTTCGTTAACTTTTGGGAACGTCAAGGGGGACTTCGTTTTTTGCATTATCCGTAGGACACCTCGTGCCGAGGCTTGCTTGGAACTCATAAGGGATGCTACCTACTTAGTTCGGCCTTTTGGTAAGAGACATATGTGTTCTGAATCTGTTTTAAACACTGATTTCAAATATGCTATTTCTAGGCTGCCGCGCACCACTCCGGAGCGAGTTATAGGCTTTTTCCTGCGCAAAATTAGCATACAACTGAACACAGCAGGACTTTCCTGTAGATAAAAATCTGCAAGATAAAGGTGCTGAGAAATCGAAATAACACAAATCCGATCTTTTCTCACTAAAAGAAGCCAAATACAGGTGTACTAGCACTTAGGTGATGATGCCGTGATACCAGTGAGTCGATGAGTATGCCCATTTCACGCAGGAAAAAGTCCAAAACTCGCTCCCGAATGGTGCTCGGCAGCTAGGAATTGCATCAACGTTTGAAGTTGACTCAGAATATATATGTCACTTGTTAAAAAGGGCGAGCTAAGTCAGGTAGCTTCCCTTGTTAGAAGTAATAGCTCGGCCAATTTAAGTTAGCATTTCCTATCTAGTTAGAAAAGCTGCTTATTAGGGCCAGTGCTAAAGTTTTGTTCAATAAGGCATCCCCTACGTTGAGAAAAGTGCACTAACAAGGGAAGGATACTTGGATGCCGCGGCCATTCCTGATGATTTGTATACCAAAAAATGCGCCTTCGAATGCAGATTCTGAATCTGTGCTCGAAATCTGCGGAACGATCTTTTGAAGAAAGTTATGAACTTTTTTCCTTGAAAATTTAGCCTACTTTTGTATAGTAAAAATCACCAGATTTGATCCAGCCTACCGTTTGATGCTACTGAAGAAAATTTTAGACGTAGTAATATTTATTTAGACTATCTGGATCATACTCAGCATTTGGAAAGAAGAGAAAATTTTTTTATTGATGACTTTGACCCTTCGCAGGAACGCAATTTTTTAATGAAAAAAAAATCATAACTCCATTCAGATTATCGTTTCGCAGATATGAAGGACAGTCTACGAACCAGCATTCAAAAGCGCATTTTTTGGTATACAAATCATTATGAATGGCTACGGCATCCAAGTATCCTTCCCCTCTAAGAGTGATGGCGAAGAGGGACATTGCACGCATCTGGACGACTTGCCGGTTTCACCTTCGCGTCTTTTCACGTCTTAACAGACGTCCTCCTCCTTCTTGACGTGTTCGAACGCGCAGCCAAAGCTAATGCATGGGGTATGCTCGTCCGCGTTGCTTATACGGCCTTCGAAAAACGAGCTTTTGCAATTTTATGTGGATCTATATCTCTTCAACATTCTATAAGATGAAAAGGCGGCAGATCGCAAAATTCTCAACACCCAAATTTGGGTGAGCCACTGTCTATGAGAGGAAAACGAATTAGAATGTCAAAACGATTATTTTATTGTAAAAGTTCTGTCGCATCATTTTGAAAAAATCATAACTTCTTGCTCTTTCAGCGGATTTGCACAGATTAATACTGCTAGATAGAGAAAACCCTCTCTTTGTGAAAGTGCCTTTCTTGCTTTCTAATAAAGCGTAACTTTTGAGATAGAAGCAGGGGAGTAACATTACTTCATCCATACCTTCGATACATAGAGCCATGTACTCTGGTAACCTTCACTTCGAGCGTCATAATAGAACACAACCTTCACCTGGGGTGAAGTACAGAAGTCATCCGGGGCGAAGCCCCGGAAATTATGACATAACTAATGACATAACCGTATAGGGATGAATTTAAATGAGGCAAATATAGCAGTGACAAAAGAAGCTTCAAAAGAAGCTCAAAAACCGAAGGATTGCGTTTTTATGTCCTTTTTTGTTGAGAAAAAGGTTTTTATTTAAAAATTCAATCAAAAACTAGGGCAAAATCTCTCAATTAACCTTCCTCTGAACTGCGGTTGAATGTTGGAAGTTCATTAAAGCCGCTAGAGTTCAATAAAAACGAAAAACTGCGCTCAAATCTTGCGCAAAGAGTCGCCATGAGAATGCTGGTCTATCTCGTTATGGAGTGATTTTCAAGACCCGCGACGTTGTCAGTGCTCCTGGCCGTCTCATGAAAATCACAACGATATATAATGTTGCAGGGTTTCGTTGAGACCCTGCGAAGATCCACGACCAGAGCCAAATGCCCCGTCGGCTCTGATCTGTCTCCGCTGCTCGTCTGCGTCTCCGCGCGCTGCGCGCTACCTCGCTACCTCAAATGCGGGGCGCGGGGCATTTGGCTCTGGTACCTTTTTCTTCGTTGTTCGGAGCCCAATTTCGATAATCTATATATCATATTAAAGCTCTTGATCTCTATTTTCACGCTGACAACGTCGCGGAACTTTTTTTTAGGATTTAAACGAGAAATCCTCGAAAAACGGCGTTTTCGAAAACCTCTTGTTTTTTCTTCAGTTTAACTTTTTTCACTCGGTTTTTTTTGTGTATTCGATAGGTCTTGTTTCTGTCTATGATGTAGACAACGTCGCCGAGCTACTTCTTTGCTTATGCTGTTTTTTTTTGTGAAAAATACTAAAAAATGCGTTTTTCTTTACCTTGTTCTCTTTCTGTGCTTTTGCAGCGAATTTTTTCCAGCTTGGACGATACTTGCCCAGAATGATGAGCGGAAGAATCCAGACAACGTCGCAGCGTACGAAACGACTATGCGGGGATGAAAATTTAGAGGACGCATCAAAAATCACATTGGCGTCGATGTGCAACACAACTTTACAGACATGTTTAACATGTTCAATTCAGTTGTTGACAAGTTCTTCTTCTTTCGGTCTCCCAACTAACGCCACAGCTAAACAGCGCTTTTTTTTTGACTGGAAAAAAACTTTGTTGTTGTTGCCACCCAATTTAACCAGCAATCCTGGAGACGAAACTCTGCGTAGGAAACCACCAAGTTAAGGTTTCAGATTTGGTGATGTGCTAACCTCTGCTTTATATGAATTTTCTAAGTTTTCTAATTTAATTTGTACCTCTAAATTTTCGTCTATTTTTCTAAAACAACCTTCACTTTTTATAAGGGGCAAGAACTCAAATAACTATCACTTTCTAGCCTCTGTCTCTTGACTATCGAAGGTATGACTTCATCTTTGGTCATTTTGAGTTAGGCTGCTAAAAATCTGAAACTTGCGACAAAATTCCGAGTAAGCAGTATAGTAAATCTTTTGAACCACAGTCTCCAACAGCGCAAAGTTCGCGTCGAGTGAACATTTCTGCGAAGAGTTCTAATTTTCGAAAAAAAAACAAAAAATCAATTTTGCTGTTTTGTATTGCTTACCCAAAAAATCACAACACTTCACAGAGATGCTCTTTTGACACAAACTCTGCACTGTTGGAAACCATGAATCAAAAGATTTACTACACGGCTTGCTCGTGAATTTATCGCAAGTTTTAGAATTTTAGCAGCCTAACTCAAAATAACCGGAGTTGAAGTTATCCCTCAAAAGCTATCCCTTCAGTAGAGAGCAGCAGCGGCACTATCACAAAGGCAATAGTTTCCTTTATCAAGAAGAATTAAGTTTGTGCAAATCCATTGAGAGTGCAAGAAGTTATGATTTTTCAAAATGTTGCGACAAAACTCTTGCATCAACCTAATAATTTATGAAGAATTATAAAAAACATAAGTGAGACTCAAAATGTGTTTGAAGCTCAAATGGAAAATCATGCACTACCGCTCGAAAGAAGGAAAATGTATATTTTTCTGATTGAATTGATTGAAAACACCTTGGAAAAAATCACCTCACACATATCATTTTGTGAGAAAGCTGAATATTAGCGCTAAATAGAATGACAATAACATGGATACGGGTGTATGTCAAGAGGCGCGATTTTCATTGCCAGCTGGACAAAAATAGCAAATAATAAGTGTTTTGCAACCTTCTAAAATTATATGAAATTTGGAAGAAGATATATCAGATAGTTGCATGAATTGTTCAATCTTGATGCTCTAGAAAAAATTTAAAAGAGCAATTTTGAAGGTCAAAAACTCATGAAAATGCAATTCGGAACAAATTCGTAAATATTTCAGTCCTATTTATAGCAAAAACCATGAAACTCAGCAGATGGTGACCTCAGACAAATAGTAAGCTAATGCACTTTATCCGGTAATTTTTGAAGAATCGCATAGCACTAAACTGGAGTTTTAAGTTGGTGACAGCCAGAGAAATCGCGCCTCTTGACCGTCTCCCACATGGATACTTCTTCAGAGTTTTCACAGTTTTCTTCAATCAGGAGTAAGAGGACCATTTTATATAGAGTAGCGCATCCGCTTCGCCGAAGGCTTCGCGAGCGTGACCGCCTACACTTTGCCGGGTACAGTCGAATCATTTCGTATGATCATGTGGGACATTACACACGCCGTCCACTTTGGCGTTCCTATTTTGGATTCTTGGAGGAGACAACCCTTCATGCAGGTGTTTTCAAGGTGTTTTCAATGTTTTCTTTCTTTTTTAGGTACTATTCACTTCATAGTGATGTAAGTGATAGCAATCAGTCAGTCTCGTTCGTTTTGCGATGGTAAATCCAGGATGAGGACGCCAAAGATGGGCGATGTGTGCAGATGCACACATGATCATATGAAATGACCCGACTAGAATTATCGAAGCGAACGGAACGCAAACGCGGCTCCCTAGTGTGATACGATATACTGTCATTGCGAAATGACGCGAAAGTGCGAGACGGATGCCCGCCAATCCGATTTTGACCTGGAGTTAGGTATAAAACAAACTTTATTAGTAGTAAGTACAGCCTTGAGCACTCAAAGCTAAGCGCAGCCCCGTGCAATTTTTCGCATAACGCCACCTGCCACTCGAACTTCTTATAAATCGTGTAATGCACATGTTAACTGTAGTAAATACATTTAAAAATCTGCCTCATCAGGGTTATTTCTACATCGATACATGGATTTTATTTTATTTAGATACTTTCAAACAATGGCACCTAAGCCGACCAATTTGCATTTATATTCCACAAAAGGGTCCCCGGTAATTTTAAAACTCTTAAATCTTTTCTGTTAGTCTATTTTAGACAAACGCTATTGCATGGAAATGTGTAACTTGCCAATTTGAAAACTGCACTTATCAGAGTCATTACATCCACAGCAGCTTCAAGCACATCATCATCCATTGCAAGGTTGTCGAAAGTCTGTCATGTATTTCTCAGGGCATACCGCTTTTTAAAGGGTCCTTCCCCTGAACTTTTCTACCTCGGTGAAATCACTTCTGATGGCGTGGAGAATTGTAAGCACTTTGATTTCCCTCTGCGAATTGAAACAGTAACGTTTAGGGTTTAATATACACAGGAAGGACTTCATTGAAAAGGTGGCCGCGACAATTTTACCAGAGGTTATAAGTGATATCGTTCCCTTAGAAGATGGTTACGGTAAGCTATAGGTTGGTATAGTAATGAGAAAATATCTTAATGGGATTATTTGAGTTTTATACTCTCTGAGGTTAAAGTGCTAATCCCTTATTTGAGATGCCCACATAATTAGAAAATAGTCATAATGTCAGCGGTGTGCTAAAATATTCGTTTCGGTAAGACAGTAATTTTGGACCTATGTAATTAGGTGGGTCCAAAAGTTCATGCCCGTTTATCAGACCCATGCTCAAACTACTTGGAATGATGATAGACAAATGCTTTAAACAGTGTTCGTTGCAGAATTTCTTCCTTTCTCTAACGCTTATTTTTGTTCCGATTCTTTTGGAGTCCGCTCGAATAATCGTGAAAAACTTCAGCACCCTTTTTACCCATCCTGAGTTTGGCTATGTCTCTTCAAAATTTCCATTTCTAACTTTTGGACTAGTCTTTGATAACAATTGGATAGAATAAATAAAATGCTATACAATGAATCCTCTTTTAGCCTCTTGAGATAACTTTTCAACAGTTCTTTATTTACTTTTTCCAGAGTCTTTACTTTTGCGAAGTTACACAATGGCTTCAAACGTTGTTAAATCTTCGATATTTGAAGCTTCCAAAAACAGCTTAACACTTAACGCTAATTTTAGCGAGCAACTGAGTGTCTAGCTGTTCAAGATACTACAGGGTGCGGCAAAAGTCTGGGATCCTAAATTTGCAGTATTGCAATTCCAAAAGTACTGGTGATTTTGATTTCAATTTTATGCCACATGATGCTGCGGTCATCCTCTACAAAACACACTTTATCTAGCTGGAGATGGCTGCCATACGTTTTTGTAAGATTGGAAACTTCCAAACTAGTACTTTTGCAGAGCGAAAAAACCAGACATTTCGATATTTACAACCTTGCTATAACTAGAGATGCTGTTAACATTTTACAACGCTGCAATGCACACAATATAGAAGAGGCTTTGCACTATCGAATCTTAGTTTTGCTTTTGCCAGGAGGTGTTCTTGCATAAACGGAAAATAAAAGTTTACGAATATTACCTACGTGCCAGTGGAAATCCGTCTTCAGAACAAATTTAAAAGCTATAGAAGCGCAACAGGCACTGAGACCAAGGCTATATTTTTTGCATATGTCTTCTAAATTAAAATCTATTGAAATTCGGCCATGGGAACACTTTTTATACTTTTTAAACGACAATTTCAAGTTTTTATTCGCGCGATTGTAGCCAAAATTCCGGTATAAGACAAACACATGTTTTTAATTGAAAATCCAATATTTTTATTCCTAAGCAATGCAAAAAATTCTTTTGGAAGCATATTGTAGATAGAAGCTTGCCCTATCGTGCTTCACATTTGCCAAGGTATTAGGTTGTAACAAAATTAATGCAGGTTTTGAATTCCAACCGCAGTAAGTCATACACTTCTCATTCCTAACTAGGTTGCAAAGTACCATTCGATAGAGCGAAGCAAGCTCTACAAGAACGCTATCTTGCTTTAGCAACAACTCTGATCTACCACGAGTTTCGAGCCAAAAACTAAAAAGATTCAATTGTCCGAAAAATTGAGAAAAATCGTAGCTCAATTCATAAAAAAACCTACAAAAATTCTAACTTGCTCACATAAACACTATTCACATAGGATATCTATTAGGTCACTCCGAAAGTAATTTCGCTTTTTTCAAACGAGCGCCACATTTGATGGATCAAAGGTTCCTGAGAGATCTTGGAAGCATTCGATGCAGAATTTTATTCTTTTCTAACGATTATGAAATTGTTGCAAAACAGTCAATGAGCTTACAGAAAATGACCAAAATCTGCGACCCATGCTTTTTGAGATGATCAAGTTTCACGATTTTTTAAAACTTTCCTGTCAATCCTCAGAAGGAGTTCAAGTAACGGTTCGATAGAGTAAACCTTACAGAATACAGTACTGCTTTTCACTCCTTTCCATAGCTTGCCATATATTTTTAGCAGAATTTTAACTGATCCTACCGATTTCCATACTTGGGCAGCTAAATCTTCGTAGAACATCAAAAGAAGAGCAGCTCGCGCACTATTCGATTCAGCATGTTCTCCTCTTTCTAATAATTGTTTTTTGTTTTCGATTCGTTTAGTTTCCGAAGAGAAATCATCATAGCTCTTTTTTAGCGAGCCCCAGGCTGCCCTTAAAAACTCGAAATTTGATATTTCGAACCCGTAAACCCTCACTTGCTTTGTAAAATTAATACTAGCTCATAGTACCATCTTTACCATCTTGGTAGTCTCAAATTACGAAAAACTATGATGTTTGATGGGATTGTGACTGAGGTGGGCCTGCCAAAATCCGATGGTTCTGTTGAAAAATCTTTTAAAAAATTACGGCGAGCTACGAGAAAGAGAAAAAGTAGTGCTGTATTCTATAAGGTTTACTCTATCGAACCCTTACTTGAACTCCTTCTCAGGTTTGTTATGAATGTTTTAAAAAATCGCGAAACTTGACCATCTCAAAAAAGGATGGGTCGCAGATTTTGGTTATTTTCTAAAAGCTCATTGACTATTTTGCAACAATTTCATAACCATCTGAAAGAGAATGAAATTCTGCATCGAATGCTTAGAAACCTTTGTTCAATCAAATGTGGCGCCCGTTTGAAAAAAGCGAAATTACTTTCGGAATGACCTAATATATACGCCTTTGTCGTATTTTTTTCTCTGTTAGAAATCAAGAAAACGGAAATTTTCGTGCGTTTGTCAAAGTGATGCTGTGCCGTTCCCACATACGTAGTTGTACACTACAAACCTGTAGAAGTATAAACGTGAATTTCCAGCTCTCTACAAGCTTTAGTTCTCGAAAAATATCGAATACAGTTTTCGCTTGTCATGTGGTCCAAGCTAAAATTCAGATTTCTCGAGAACTAAAGCTCGTAGAGAGCTGAAAATTTACGTTTATACTTCTACAGATTTGTAGTATACAATTACTTATGTGAGAACGGCACAGCAACACTTTGGCAAATGCACGAAAATTTCCGTTTACTTGATTTCTAACAGAAAAAAATACGGCAAAGGCGCATATAGATGTCCTATGCGAATAGTGTTTACGTGAGCAAGTTAGAATTTTTGTAGGTTAAGTTACGATTTTTCTCAATTTTTCGGGCAGTTGAATCTTTTTAGTGCTTGGCTCGAAACCCGTGGTGGATCAGAGTTGTTGCTAAAGCAAGATGGCCATCTTGTAGAGCTTGCTTTGCTCTATCGAATGGTACTTTGCAACCTAGTTAGAAATAAGAAGTGTATGACTTATTGCGGTTGGAATTCAAAACCTGCATCAATTTTGTTACAACCTAATAAAAGAAGCAGTTATTGTGAAGGCTTGGGGCGAATTCTATTACGACTGCCTGCGTGCCATGACAGGTGGACTTGCGAAGATTTTGTAGGGTGCGTGGATGGCCAAAAGAAGTAGTTTTGCAATTCAAAAACTGGGCTGTATCTGCAATGGTTCGAATTATGCGTGCGCCAAATTTTTCGTTTCTAGGTACTTCCCTTCTCGTTTTGTACGAAAAAGTACTAGGCTCCCAGACTTTTGCCGCACCCTGTAGAATCCAAACTTTCTGGGTACAGCCTGGGACGAGGCTGGAAAGAAGAATTATAATGATTTTTTCATTAAATATTATACAAATCAGGAATGAAAGAAGTTTTTTAGAAAGAGCAGAAAAAACTGCATCAAATGACACTCTGGTTGCTGCACGTTTATTGTTCTGTGAGGATTGGGATGCCCAAATATGGGATTTGATAGCTTCAGAAAATATTTTCAAAAAATTTGAGAAATCGGCTAGGGTTGCCAAAAAATGTTGTGTTGCATTTTGTTTATTGTATGCAGTTGTTATCAAATCTAGTCTAAAACTTGGAAACGGTAGCCAAACTCAGGATGGGCAAAAATCATGGGTTGGGAATTCTGACGACTATCCGAGGGACATCAATTTGAACAAAATACGATTGTTAAAAAAAGGAGGAAATTCTGCATCGGAAATTGATTAGAGCATTTGTCTATCATTAGGTGGTTTGGGCTTGGGTCTGAAAAACGGCACGAACTTTCGGACCACCTAACAGTATATAAAATATTTTTTGATAAGCTCGCAGTCTGCGTGAAGACGTGAAGAATGATTTTTTTGTAAAGGCTGCTGCATGACGAAGGCGTATAAGCAGTAGTAGTTGAGCGGGCGCGAACGCTGAGCGCGTGTACCTTCACTGTTGTAAATCCCGCGCCTCACGCGCTCTGCAGCTAATGAAACCGCGTTCGCGCCCGAATGAACAGCACCTTCGTCAGGCAGCAGCCTATACTATACTTGACTGCGCAGCACCCCGGTAACAAAAACAATTGTTCATTCGAAATGTAGAGATAAAAAATTCAAGTGGAAAGTTAGTAGATGTTTTTTGAAATCGAAATTAACTCTACAAAGGCTTGGTTCTTCTGTTTTATGTATCAAATCTATCATATTTATGAAAACCTAACAAGAAAAATCGTTGGGCAATTTTTTTTCTTTATCGTGCCTCTGACAAGGAGAGGATACTTGGTCGAAAGCACCAATCCAGATGAGACATATATTATCTTAGAGCGCTTGAAACGCTGATTCTAAATCTGCAGTTTCTAGCTGCTGAGCGGTTTTGTAGAGGGAGTTATGAGGGGTGTTTCCTCTGAGGTTGAGGCGCCCTCCACCAGGTCTCCCCCTACCTATGAGCACTGTAGAGGAGTACCAACTGTGGCAACTGACCTAGTGGTAAGTGACGTGCTTGATAAAGAGAGTGTCAAGGTTTTAATCCTCTTCGCATGCTAAATTAAACTTCTAAATGGCTTTAGAGCCCTAAAGCATGAAACTTCTGATGATGTGGATACGAATCGAAGTTAGAAGTGTTGAAAAAACTAGAGTAATATCAGTATTACAATCTTTACTGTAATCTTCATTCAAGTTACTTACCATTAGGTCAGTTGCCATCAGCTGATACTCTTCTGCAGTGCTTACAGATAAGGGAAGACCGCTCGAGGACGCCTAAATCCCAGAGGGGAGCATCCTTCATAACTCCTTCTACAAACCGCTCCGCAGCTAGAAACTGCAGATTTGAAATCAGCGTTTCAAGCGCTTTAAGATGATATATGTTTCATTTGGATTGGTGCTTTCGACTAAGTATCCTTTCCTTGTGAGAACTTCTTTTCCGCTAAAAAATCTTAGGGTACTATAATAGAAACAAGCTTCTAGAATCTATCTGGGGTTACAATCTGACAAAGCTCTCAAGCTGACTCAATAGTAGGCATCGATTACGCAACGTTCCCTATCGTCCAAGCAAAGTGTTTTGCCTTGGGTTGGGAGAGATTACGCGGCGTACGCAGCTTACGTAGTTACGCCGCTTTCTCAGCATAGTCTGGCCCAACCCTATGCGACAGAAAGCCAACTATCATAACATCTAAGAATCGCCCTCAGAGGAAAAGGCCTGAATAATTCTCAAATTCAAAAAAGATAGGATAACATAGGAGAAGCGTACTATTATATATGTATTCGTTATATCTGTTATATCTTGTCTGTTTCTTTACCATAGCATTATCAGTTTTCTCTAATCCTATCTGCTATTCGTTTCTGCAATAATGGCATTCAGAAGCGCTGGTGAAAATTATGCTTCCACCCGGTCGAAACTCAAGCCACGTTTTTCCAGTACTGCTGAGAGTGTAAGTCTTCAAAATTATCTGCTTCTTTACCATAGGCATTATCAGTTTTCTCTAATCCTATACTCCTATAATCCTCAATGTTGTAGGTAAATGATCACACTCTTCTCATAAAATAAGGTTGTTAACAAACTCATATCTGATGTAGTTGAGCGAATACATATATGCTGTATCAAATAGCATCGTTCATGTGATGTCGCGCCTGCGGCAACTAGCGACGGTGCGGTGTGACGCCTGGCTAAGCGTCAAGGCATATCGCACACGAAATGCGACATTGCAGAGCATACCAGCGCGGGATCGATGCCGTTTGATACAGCCTATTACTATGCTTCAGGTGCGTATTGCAGCAACACAAAATACTACAATGAAGACTAGGTACAGTCGAGTATTTTGTTGGCAGACATAGAATGCTTGCAGTGCCGTGTGTGGTAAAATTTGCGCTGCAAGATGCTGACATTTTAAGCGTAGCTCTCCCTTCACGCGCAAATTTTGCGGCAAAGTCTCGGCACCGCGGGGCACTATACTTACCGACTAATCTACTCGACTGTACATTGCGCGACGGTTTATATCAACGCACAGTAGTCATCCCCCGCAGCTCATCTCACTGGAGATGTCGCCCTCCGCCGTACGCTCTAGACATGAAGTTGGCAACGACAAGCTCAAGCCCTCAGCACTCTTTTCACAAACGAATTCCTAGGAAGATTATAGTGTGCTAACCAAAGTCTACATAGTAGCTTGAGATTGCGAAAACACCTTTGAACAGAAATTCCAGGGAAAGAGATGCGCGAACGTCTCAGAATCACAGGAATCCGGCATATCAAAACGGAATCCTTCGAGAAGTCAACGCTTGAAAAGAGACGGGGCTTGGGATGTCGCACTGCAGTGGTACGCAGGGAGAAAGATGAAACACAGCGAGCATGTGAAGGAGGGGATGGGGAGGGGGAAGGGACAGCGAATTAAACAGAGAAAGCCAAATACAAAATTGATCCGGACTTACAAGGACCTGTGAGGGAATGAGAAAGTCTCCCAGTATTCCATGCTTGTCTTGCTTTTTACAAAACCCTAGGTTGTCAAAGATCGTTACATTATGAGAAAGAACGTGAGATTCTTAAAGCCAAAGCGAATCCATCTCATTTGTGTAGCAGCTTGATTCCGCCTGCAAAAGAACGCGGAAGTATTGGGTTGGCACATAAGTAATGCAACTTTTTATACAACTTTTGTCTTTGGAACGTAGCGCATTCATTCTGGCAGTATAAGGATTATGATGTAAACTGCAATTGCAGACATTTTTGCCGAATTTTGCCATTTCATGTAAGAGTTACGGTAGGTTTGAAGTAAATGGGAAAAAAGACTACGTCAGATTTTGCTTTAATTTCGCCTGTGGGGGTTATTCGACATGCTGATAACAAAAATGAGACCCGTTCTGCATGGAAAGCCCTCTTTCGTGAGGTCACGGAATGAATTCCATCGGCGACAAATGAATATGATATTCGCATTCAGAGTATTGGATTACCCTGTGCAAAGTTTCGCAGCTTTGTTATTGACAGACTGTCCTCCAGATTTGACGCATTTGACTTCTTCTACTTCTTAAAGACGTCTTATCTTATTTGCCTTTGAATTTCACTTTTGTTACTAATTCCAATGTGTCAACTTCTAGCTACATGCTGCCTATGATTCCTTTTTGATGTGCTTGATTCAGGTTTTTTACCGTTTTATGTTCACCGAAAAACCGTGAGAACTCGACTTTCAAAGGGTTTTAAAAGGTTCAAATTTTTTCAACTACGCTATCAAAAATTAGACGGTTTGCGCAGGCTTGCAGCTTACGTCACAGTCTACATGATGCCAGAGACTGAGGGTGCTATGTTAAATATGACAAAAATTATGGGAAAAGCTGCAAAACTTATGTGCCAATCAATATATTAACAATGAGTGGAGACTATGAGACTCATTCTCAAATTTCCAACCTACAATGAAGTTTCAGTTATGCTGGTCCTACTGAAGAAACAATGGCTAACGATCAATGGACAAATGAACCACTTTGGATCGCCCCCCTCGCACTTGGTTATGCAATAGTGACGGTGGGTTTTTTTATTATGATCTGATCAAGAAAGTTTGATATCAGATCGACGGGCGCGGTTCCACTGGCAGAGGTTGGAAATACCGTAGTGCATTCTATGGCGCGCTAGGCACGGTGGAGATTCAAGATCAGATAGATGGCATACAGTAAGCAAACCTCAAAATCTGCTTAATTGTAATGTTCTGTTCAGAAAAGTTATTGCCAAATATCCATTCTTGGATGATACGCGGATTACTGTCTCAGGATGGTCATACGGCGGCTACGCTTCTGCTTTGATTACCGAACGGGCGCCCTTGGGTCTCTTCAAATGCGCCATTTCAGTGGCTCCCGTGGCTAACTTCCTCTACTACCGTAACATACACCTTCAGAAGCTGTATGAATGATGAGATTACATCAAGCATTGCAGACGCTTACTATACCGAGAAACATATGGGGAATGCAGATGTCTCTATATACAACGAGAACGATATCACCAACGACGTGGAAAATTTTAGGGAGACTCGTTTATTACTCGTTCATGGCTTGCATGATGGTTAGTTGATCTGGATAAATTCGTTTTTCTACTCGCTTTTAGCCACTTCGAATATAAAAGATAGCAGCCACTTATTTCAGATAATGTTCATTTCCAACACAGTGCTCTCTTCATAGAGGCTCTACAGAATAATGGTATTGATTTCGATCTTGTGGTGAGCGGTTCCAAGAAGCCATTGATTGAAAGACCAAAGTGTTTTACAGCTTTATCCAAATCAGGATCACATGCTACATGCAGTACAAGGCCATTTTCTCCGAAAATTAACTGCATTTTTGAGCAATTGCGCCAAACGTGGTTAACAGTGCTTTGCTAATATCAGTTGTTATCAAGCAAATATCTCAAATATGAATAACAGTATACGACTAAAAAGATTTACAAAAGTTAATGAATGTTTTATGCAGAATGAAACATGATGAAATTATAGACACTGAGTTGTTTGCTTACTCATCTGATCAGCACAATGATAAGTACTTTTACAAAATTGTTTGAAAAACCAACTCAAAATTATTTTCTTCTCCTTGTACATATGATAATCTATTTGTTTAGCGGCAGTCGCTAGTAACAAACAAATACAACGTAGTCAACTGCACTTCTGTAATGTACGGTCACGACAAATTCATATTGAGTAATGACAACGTCCAAACAATAGATGTTCTGTTTTCACCATTGCCACAATAGAGCTTCTAACAAAAGAAAGTGGGCAGATTGTAAGTCCATATCAGGCAAATTGGACCGGAAGGAATTCGAATCTTGCAAACTATACTTGGGTAATTCGATAATTTTTCATCGAATGAATGAATATCGAATAAATTCAGAAAGAAAAAATTTCGAATAAACGAATATTGAATAATTCGAAAATAAAAAATCTCGAATAAACGAATATCGAATAAATTCGGAAAACCAAAAAATATCGAATGAATGAATTTCGAATAAATTCGGAAAATCAAAAATATGGAATGAATGAATTTCGAATAAATTCGGAAAATCAAAAATATCAAATGAATGAATATCGAATATATTCGAACATTGGAAGTCGAATTTCGAATCAATATTCGAATGATTTATCGAATAACTAAAGCAATCACATTTCAAACTTGCCGACATATCTGGCTAAAGCTGATCCAATCATAATCAGCCCCCTAGTATCCCCTATACCAACTCCTAGCTCAAAATTTTCCAGAAATTGCTGAAATCAATGAAATAGATTTCGGTTTCAATCAGCACCCTCACTTACCCCTTTGTACCAACTCCCAACCTCGTAGCTCAAAATTTTCCAAAACGAAAATCGATGAAGCAAATCTTTATCCATAATCAGCACCCTCACTTACCCCTTGTACCAACTCCCAACCCCGTAGCCCAAGATTTTTCAAAAATCGATAAAATCGATAAAGTAAATTTTTGTTCATAATCAGCACCCTCATTTACCCCCTTGTACCAACTCCCAACCTCGTTGCTCAAGATTTTCCAAAAATGAGCAATGCAAAGAAAGAAGAACAGCCATCTCAATTCAGTATGAACGCAGAACATGAGCTTCAATTTGAAATCTTCTTTGCTGATTTGGTGCCAATAGCAGTGCGAACAATCTCATTGATCGAAAAAACATCAATTAAAATCCACATATGATTTTTTTGCTGTCGCAAGCAGTCGGAAGAATGCGACTCTCCATACAGTTCAAAGGTATGCAAAAGATGCATTACCGAGTTTTGTGAAAAAAAACGCGGACGAAGTGAGCTTCATACTCAGCAGTTGGCTGTGCAACAAAGTCGAATAATCTGAATACGGAGTACATGATTACGAATTCGAATAAACATTCGAATAAAAAATTCGAATAAAATCTATTCGAAACCCCGTTTTTTGCTTATTCGAGTTATCGAATTTTATTCGAAACCCTGTTTTCTCAACTATTCGAGTTAGTATATTATTCGAAAATGGAAGAACTCCGAATATCGAATTTCGAATACGAATATATTCGAATGTTTTATTCGAATGATCGAATTTCTATTCGATCGAACCCAAGTATATTGCAAACGTGCAACCGGCAGAAGAGCTATGGGCCCCACGTGATTCTTCACAATGTAATGTATATTGTTTACTAGTCGAGTACAAAGAAGACATAAAACTTTAATGTGTAGACCATCCCAGTCTGAAATACAAGGTGTCCCAAAAAAATGTGTCTACTGTTTGACTGTAAATAACTGTTTTGTAATGAAGTGTTTCGAGAAGCTTTAGGTACCGTTGTGTAGAGCGAGGTTAAACTTAGACTTATAGTATGGAGCGAATCATCTAACTCTCTTCTACGTAGGATTACGGTAGGAACTTCTTGCGTATAAAACCATTGTGAGATATATCGCCTAACAACATTCTTTTTAAAAGATCTGAAAAAATGGTGTACTA